AGCCATAAAGGTCCAGAGAGGAGGAGATTCCCTTTTTCCCCTAGGCTTTTAAGTTGGGTAGCATCTTCGCTCATAGATTCATAAAGGCTGGCCAAGACCAGTTTGCTTAAACATAGATTATAGCCGGAGTGGAGTTGGTTCTCCATAGTTAAGAATTTCCTAGCTACTTGAAGCAACTTCGAAGAGAAGACACAGCGAGACAACCATAACGCTAAGAAGGCTATGTGCTCTACATCAGATACCTCCTCTACATCTTTGCCATGGTAATGTGCCATGTGAGTTGAATATGTTGCCCTAAAAGTTGCAAAGTTTATGTTATCCTCAAACATGTAGTCAGAGTCATATGTGTTGCAAGTCGATTTGAGCCTTGTGATAGCGGCTACATCGAATAAGGTGGGGTTCATCATTCCACAAGGAAGATGGAGAATGTAATGAGTAATGTCCCAAAAGTATAAGAAAGAGACAAATATGTTTGAACAATACTCAGGGCCTACTTTCGACAACATGATCAAATCAAAAATGCCCATGTCTTTCCAGATTTAGGACTTTGTTTTTTCTAATTTCTCTAGCCATCCTAGATAATTAGGAGGATCCTTAAAAGATGGGCTTGCCCGGAATACCCTAAAGTTATTCATGTACCTAAGGTCAATTGCCTCTTCAATCGGAGGATTGCTCTGATTAGCGGAATTGGGGTCCTCATTGATAGCCCTAGGTTTTTTAGCATGACCTATGGGTTTGTATTTATGGTAAGTTGGAAAGAAATCTTTAAGTTTTCTAGGATCAACATTAACATCAGATAAAGGACCAAATAAAGCCAAAGGCTTATTAGCAACACTGAGAGGAATAAGTACCCATGAGTCATAAATTCTTCTCTTCTACTCAGCAAGTGGTTCATGCAAATATTGTTGATTTCCTACCGTAGTTGGACCAGTGATTGTATCAAATGAAGGAAGCTGATAAATCTTCTTAGGAACCTTCACAGGCTTAGTGGATTCCTTAGTAAGTTTGGTGACATATTTGGTAGATCGGGTTGATGAAGCCATTGTTGAAATAGGAATAACTGGGTTCTTTGAAGGAGAAGAAGATTGTGAAGTTGAGAGTTCAGAAAACATAAAAAGTGGAAAGAAATGAGAAAGGGAATATTTATAAGGATGGAAGTTGAAATAGTTCTAAAGCAGCATTAATGGTTAAAATTGGAGTGAGACGCGTGTTCTTCCCGCTATCCTTGATGAAATGGTGGCAGTTAATGCCTAGCCCCATGATCTCCTAGGGTCTAGGATACGTGATGATGAAAACGATTCTCACGTGGGTTGAGGGGACGTTTCAGAAAAGCGTAATCATGACCATGACGTCATAGGCGTGCTAAAGAAGAAGAACCGTTTTATAACATTGATTCATTAGAAATGTCGAATAGCACATGGATCATTTAAGATGTCAAATATGACTATCAAAAAATGTATTTTTCTTTAGTGCTGTCGAAAATGACATTTTTTGGGGGGCAATTTGTTAGCTCCCAAATTTGACGCCTAATTTTGATTAATGGAAACAATAAAGAAAAAAACAATTTATATGAAGTTGTGAAAAACTTCGACAAAATTGTGAAACTTGTTTGTTTTAGTCAAAGCCACCTTTTTTGTACAAGGAGGATATGCTGAATGGATTTGGAAAAATATTCTAAGTCTTGGAAGTTGGTTCGACAGAGAATTGATGATGGTGTTTTTCGACATAAGATTTGAATTCAAATGAAGGAGGGAACTTTGTTCTTATCCAGATTTTTGAAGGAGACACGTGGAGCATTTTCAAGGAAAGAAGACATGTCGAGCGCCACTTGTCTTATTTTTGTAGGAGGCCATTAGGAGAAGTTATTTTTAATCATTATAAATAGGAAGTCCTAGCATTAAGATCAGTGTGTTCAAAGTTGTACATAATCTCTAGAATTACTCAAAGTACTTATGTGCAGAGAAAAGAATGTGTCGAGAAAATGTACGTCTGACAAAACACCATATCTTTACACTTCAATTCAAGTTTTATCTTTTTACCATAAGTTTATCTTTTTTATTGCCCAAGTTATTTTCGAAGCATTTACTTGTTTTTTTATTAAGTTCATGCAATTTACTTTCTTTGAATTTTTTAAAGTTGTTAGCTGTTAGATCATGAAACTGTCGAAGTATTTACCATTTTCCAAACTTTATTTTAAGATTTGCTAGCACATGTCCTAGGATTAGTATGGTCGATCTTGCAAGTAACCAAAATCTTTTTCGATTTTAAAGACCAGCGGTTGTTTATTAATTTTCACGGTAAACAACTTTTCACCACTGTTGATAAAAAGATCGCAATTAAATGTAGGTACTGTTCACAATGGTTGCTATTTTAAACCGTGGTGAAAAGTATTTTAATTTTAATATAAATATTAAGATTATAAGTGACACACCCATTTCGTAACCAAAAAAGGAAAGCTGTTGGTTCCGAGATTCGAAGTATGTAAGCCTTAACATATCACTATATTTATTAATATGGACCATAGTGAAATGTCTTTTAATAAAAGAAATAAAAATGCAAGCGCCTAAATAAGAGATATTACTTCAGTTGACTTAATAGCTGAGGTAATATTATGTTACATTAGGTGTACTTTGTAGTGGTGTCCCCTATCCACGTAGGGATACCACACACTCTTATATTTTTTTATCAACATAATGACATGCATCATGGGGCCCTTGTAAAACTAACATAGGCCACACCTTTTGTTACAATCATCATACTCACTGCCACTCCCCTTTCCTATACCCAACCATTCCCATCCATGGTTAACAGGAAAGCTCCATCCCTTACATTGAAGGACACAGGGGTAACATTGATGTCAATGCCTTGACAGAGATGCGTGCCACCATGAAGGAACATCGTCGTCAGAACTGGAGCTTAGAGAACAACATCCTCAACATCCGACAATGCCAACAAGAGACCAATCCTCTAAAAGAGATGTAAGTGTTGGACCCTTAACCACTGACAGACGAAATATGGGAAACACTTTTCCTAGAAGTGTTCAAGACCTCCTATCTATCAAGGTTTGATGGGCGTAGTGATTCCTATGAACACATCGCCTCCATCAACACCCAAATGGTCATCATTGGAGTGTTTGACTCATTGAAGAGCAAATTTTTGTCTGGAACTTTTAGGGACATAACCTTCTGATGTTATATAGGTCTAGGATAGGCCTTCATCGCTAGCTATCAGAAGTTAGTGAAGAAGCATGCACACTAGTTAGTTACAAGTAAACACAAAAAGATGTCCACCAAAATACGTTAAGGCCCCTCAGAGTCGCTGAGAGACCACCTCGCCCGCTTCAACGAAGCCACCATAAGGGCCATCCCCTCGAACCAAGAGATGTTCGCATGGGCGTTCCAAAACGGTGTCCAGGCAGGACACAAAGAAGTCTTCGCCCATAAACCAGTATGTTCATTAGTAGAGGTGGTCACCAGGGCGGAGTGTTACATAAAAGGAAAGGAGAGCAACACTTAGAAAAAGGTGAGGGATGCTAAATAGTGTGTTCCTGAAGCTGAAAGATCAACACACCAGAGGAGGAATGACTATACCTCTCATATTAAATATATAATTGCATTCAAACAAATAGGCAAGGTGGCGGAGAGCTTGACGCCCGTGAACACTCGCCAGAAAAAGATCTAGTGCGAGGTTCTCCATCTTTAGAACATACCTACTCCTCCAGCCCCAAAAGCAGACGTTATGGGGCCTGAACTAGGCAGATGGTGCAACTTCCATAAAGTTAAATGACATAACATCGGAGACTACTGTCAACTTAAGAAGGAAATAGAGCGGATGATCCAAGAATGACACATCAATAAGTATGCGAAGGGTGATTCATCCTGAGGGTAAGGCGGATCTAACTCCCGCATGAGAGAAGACACAGGAAACCCTATACTAAGAAAAGGAAAGAAGGTATCTATCGAAGAGGATAACAAAGTCGTGCGCCACACTCTTAACACCATCGCTGGAGAATTCACCGAGTACAGGGAAACTAGCCCCGTCCGCAGAAGGTATGCACGTTAGATACTGAATATATAAGATCTTTCTAAGGAGTCAAATGAAGGTATGCACTTAGGGTCTGACTGAAGAACAAATGTGTTTGGGTTGCGTCTAAAGCTGCATCTCTGAGTTCTAAAGATATTTTTTATTTTTCACAAAGATGTGGTAGCAATTCTTAAGATGCCTTAGGCAATTCCATAAAATTTTACACCCTTCAATTTTAGAGATTTTAAAAGTTAGACCATAGCCCCATAAATTGATAGTTGAACATGATACAACACATTAATCAAAAAGAGATTTTTTTTATGAACTTTTTTGGAAAAAAATCATTATCACAATGTATATCAAACAAAGCAAGAATACAATAAAATAAAAATTAAATATCCATTATTTTATAAATTGAATATTTAAATTATTTTTCATAAAACAAAATATATCTTAAAGGATTAATGAATATGTCAATTTAATAATAATCTCTATCAATAAATTTAATATCCAATTTTTTTCTAAATTTAATCTCAAATAAAATGATATTTAATTTCAATATATTTAACTCTTTAATATGAAATTGAATTTTTTAAATAAACAAATTGCATAACTATAACCATAAAAAATATGAATGATACAATCTCTAACATGACTAGAAAAATTAATCTAAAAAATACATAACATTTTTTTAGAAAGATACCTTTCAAAAGCTTGAAAAAATAGTAGTTATACTTATTCAAATCTATTTAATCGATTCATTTTTGCCATCTTGATTAAATATAGTGCACTATTTACACTATCTTCCAATAGAATTATACCATTCAATTATAACAAACAATAAAAAATAAAAATGGTACTAGGGTTTCAAGAAATTCCATTACTGAAACCAGAAGTGTGAAATCGGAGAAGACGAGTATGCAATTAAAGCGCAAAAGCTGATAATTTCAAAGTTCAAAGCAAAAAAAAACTAAACAATGGCGAAAGAGGAACGTAGGGTTGCGCAAGTTGAAGTAGCAAAGCAAAGATGCAGATGCGTCATTGATTCAATCCACCAATTGCCATCTTCTTCAAACATCACCCACTCATGCAGACGAACCCTCCTCAAATTAGCACGCGCTGAGCTCGATTTTCTCTCTCAACCTTCTTCTGCCACCACTCTCAGGTCTCACTCGTTTCACTCTTTCATCAATTTCATAATTGTTATGCTCTTGTTAATTAATAATTACTAAACCCTAAAATTGATCTGTATTTTTAAATCATGTTTTGGTGGATGGATATTGAGTTTTGAAATTATGGCAAAGTGTGACCAATAACCAATTCATTTTGATTCTTGAAACCCCATTTTTGTTGTCAAGTTAGTCACTGAACAAAAAGTGTAATGGTTGGTCAGCATCCCGCTGTTGACAGCATTGGTTTAAGCTAACAAATATGAAGACTAATTTATGATCATAAATAAGTTTCAAGTATCAATTTGATCTGTAGTATTCAACTTTAAGACCAATTTGAATCTATGTTATTAAACTCGGCCATTCCGGCTGTTTTCTCGGCACGGAACAGCAAAAGCAAAAAAAAATATGTCAGTCTGTGCAGTTCCGTCACATATGGGTGACGCGGCTGGAACGACTGCGATAATGGGATTGGATTGGAACTATGCCTTTCTTAGGTGACCGCTATTTTAAGGATAGCCGCATATGATATTGCCCTTAAATTTTTAAGGTTAGCAAAGTTATTTATTGAATTTTATTGGCATTTGGAAGTGTGTTTTGCTTAAGACTTATGGATTTTATTTCAAAATATGAATACTTCATGAATTTTGATTAATTTATTTTAGTTTTTAACAATTACGTCTTCATTAGTATTAACTGTATTAGTGTCCCTGTCACCTAAATATCAACCATTTCGCTCCCCGCTCCCTTTCCGTTCCCGTTTTGAAGATGGCCGCGCCCGCCACATTCCGAGATTGATAACATAGATTTGGATTATTTGCGTACATAAGGTGAAGTCTAGAAAAAAATGACCACCAACTAACCATTTTAGGGATGTTTTTGTCAATTTCTTAACTTCATGAACCACCTTGCCAGCTCTCTACAATTTCAGAGACCAACTTGGAGATTTATTCATTCTTCTTTGTTGAATTTGAAGCCCTTGCTAAGAATAACTTGTCAATTTAGAATTCCATGTCATGTTATTTTGTCCAGGGGATCCTGAAGCTAGTCGTACTATAACGAAGCAATTCCAAGTAACTATATCATTGTTTATGACTTGATAGTTTTGTTGATCTTCACTTTGATGTAGTGTCTTTTATTTTGTTATATTTTATCATATTTTAAAGTGAAAACGGAAAGGTGTAATCATGTTTGTTTTATTGTGTTTGAATAATTTTTTCACCTCTACTTTATTAGAGGTAGGTAACTATTGATTCTTTCTTCATTACTTCATAAATCATGAGTTTCTGTTTATTATGTGAAAATAACAGTGTCAACATTGGGCACCTGGAAGCAGTTCTACATATTCTACAGCAACCTTTCATAAGCGGAGTTTCTAGAGTTTGCAAATCAATCCCGCTGTCACCTTCAGTTAGTCGTGAAGAGAGACACGGATCTTCTCTCAAAGACATCCATGTCGATGTGGTGTGTATCCTCAACGGGAGGCCTGTGTGGATTATAGTATCTGATAGGAATCCAAAGTACATTTCATGGAATAGTTGTCATAAAAGTAAGGGTTTGAAGCTGCGCATTGAACAAGTACTTGCTGCTGCCAAATCTAACTTAACTTTAAGACCTTCATCAGTTATGATTTTCTTTGCCAACGGGATTACAACCCATGTTTATGACAAGCTACGCGACGAATTCGGGGCATCTGAAATCCGTTTGGAGTTTTCGGTTTTCAGTTCTAACATGCTGGAAGAAACTGAAGGTGACTGGATAAATGTTATCTCTAGATCATATAGAGATGCACTTGCCCTTGAAATCAACCTTACCGATGACAAAGATGCTGTTCCAAATTTGGGATGTAATGTTGAGAATTCGACCATGGATTCTTCTCAAGTAGAGGTTTCAGTAGGAAAGGCTGAAACACAACTGCATCTTTCGGAAGAAAATGCCATTAATGGGGCTTCTTCTCAACTTGAGTGTTCAATAGATAAAGCTGAAACTAGACCGCTGCTATCACAATCACAAGAGGTTATTGAAACAAAGTTGGGTGATACATTCTATTCTGTTATTATGGGAATGAAACAAAGCTCCCTGGACAATCAAAATTCTGAATTGACCGATTCTAAGAAACTTTTAGGTGGGAGTGATCTGGTAAATTTTGATACAACATCTTTGATAGCTTTTGTATCGGGAATTAGTAATGGTGGAACAGAAAAACTTTTGGCCACTCCAGAAAGTGAACTGAGACAGCGGTTTAAGGGAAACTTTGACTTTGTGATCGGTCAAGTGAGTTATCGATATTTTTTACCATCTGCTTTGTGTTTTTTTTTTTTTTTACTTTTTGCATGTTTCTACTTGATGATAAAGCATTCCAATTATTCAATTAACAATCTTTATTTTGTTGTGACAATGATTTTTTAGCTTACACATTAAAACTTTCAAAATATGAAGACCCAGTGATCCAAGGTTTTATTGTGTTTTAGTTAATTAATAATTCAATATTTGCATTGTATGTAGTTTTCATAAACTATTCTGGTTTTTATCGGCGTCAAGTGAATTGACAAAAGCTTTCCTCAATTTATGTGCTAGATAATGTCTGAACTTCAAAATCCAATCCATGTGGAATTTGGTAGAGTCTTAAATGGGAAGCAGGGCATAATTTGTGAGAGTGTTCTTTCAGAATTTAAGGAGCTAGTGAAAATGTGTGGAGGGCCAAATGAGAAACTTAGAGCCGACAAGTTAATAAATTATCTCAGGTGAGTTTTATTAGCCATTCTTTCTCTATTCGAACCACTTAAGTTTATCTGCAACATTTTGCACTGACAAGCTGGAGGATCACCACAGGGTTGTTCCGGATACTCCTTCAGGACGCATGATGGGCCTCCCAACAACTAGGAAGCTGGCATTAAAAAACAAGATTGTGTTTGGTACCGGTGACTATTGGCATGCCCCAACTTTGACAGCAAACATGGCATTCATCAGAGCAGTTTCACAGACGGGGATGTCCCTCTCTAGTATTGAACATAGACCAAGGGCCTTAACTGGGGATTAGTCACACAAGAAGCTCAACTAATAGAATCTAATTTCAGTTAAATGAGTTTGGTTACTTTACACTCAACATTTCCCCTGCCTTATAGTCTTAGTAAATGCCAATATTCTGTGGTTATTTTGCTCTGATATTCACATCAAACTCTGCATACATTGTTCTGTCAAAATTAAGCATCTCATATCACTATTTTGGCTTGAAGACTAGGTTAAGAATTCATTCAACCGCGCAATAAGCATATGTTGTATAAGAAGGCTATTTGTTTGGTGGTTTAGAGTCCATAGGATATGGCAATGGATGATGGTACTGGTCTTGCTGAATAAAGTTGTACTTGTAATGAGATTCACTCCATAGGATATGACTCAAAGAAATACTTGAGATTCTTTCTCTTCTTACATGGAGTTTACGCATAAACTTTCACATGGTATTGGTTCTATTGAGACTTCATCATCTTTGTTGTAATCTCTAATTTCAAAAATATCTTTCTATCTCTATCTATCTATCTCATCAGTTCATCTTTGAATTTGATATTTCTTCGAAATTTTTCCTTTTCTTCTCGATGAAGACAGTTCTTGATTCTTCATAGGTGTTGATTTCTGTTTTCTCTACAAATCAACTTAATCATATTTATCGATGGCTCAACTTAGAGTGTTAGTGACAACTCTTCATTCCATGCAAACAAAAGATATCAAAATAACATATTGTACTTGTATTTCTTTCATCCTAATGAGAATCTAGTATTGTTCTTGTTACACCTTTTCAAATTAGTAATAGCTAATCTTGATCGCGTCCCAATGATTGTAGCACTGAGATCAAAGTATAAAAGATTGTTTTTTTCTTAAATTTTTTTTATCAAGGTGATATCTTTAGAATTTATGATACTCAAGAAGAAATTTAACATTGAAACAACTCAATTTCCACTTTACTAAAATGAAAAAGTTTTGGCAAGAATTGGTGCAATTCTTGAAAGCAAATGTCTTGCCAATTGTAAAGCCATTGACAAAAATGCGCGAATATAAAGATGATGATCAAGTGATTATATAGTTGAAGGGCTTCAATGAACAACAATCTTGTGAGAAGTCTCAAATAATGTTTATGAAACCCTTTCTTAATAATACTAATATTTATTCTTTGCTTGTTCAACAAGAAAGAAAATTTGTTGTTCCTATAGATGAATCAAAGATTCTATTTGTTTTAGGAAATTAGTATCAAGGTAGGGGTGGATCATCTTATGGTAGAGGAGGTTATAAAGGAGGTAAATCATATGATGGTAGATTTTAGAGGTTCAAAGTTTTACACACAGTAAAAATTGGCCTCACCAGTCACCATGCATAGATATTTGAAGGTACATGGATATCCATCTCATTTTCTACAACGTACTTTATAAATAATAATAAATCAGTAGTAGAAAATCAACCTTTAATACGAGAATAACATCATTCTTCACTTACTAATTCACATTCATATAATATACGAAGCATTTTGAATTTTTTTCATGATTTTATCGTAGAAACTTAACCTAATCATACTAATAAAAACACATAAACTTCACTCATACAATCTACTAAAATCACTAAACTAGTAACTTATCTCCAAAATTATAAACTTCATTCTAATCACTAAACTACGAACTTATCTCTAAGATTACCATTGTAACCTTGCCATCACTACAATTCACAACTGATTTGCTCATGCACTCAATTCATCATATCAACATAGTAAGTATCTGATATCATCTTTTGTGTCCTATCAAAGTTTCTCTTTAGTATTCAATTTTAAACCAATTTTATGAATCAACATATCATTTTCAGAATTAATAAAACACATGCCCACCTGTGCATGAATTTCTTCATAAATCAATGAGGTCGATGATTCTCTCATTTCCAATGTTATATGTTTCTCTAATTTAAATATTTTTATATAAGAAAAGTCACACATATTTATTAATGCATATATCTATATCACTAGAGAAGATAGAATTCAACACACATGTATTTCCAACCTAACAAAACTGAATTCAACTGGCGCCAACCATCATTGACCATTGAAGTTATTTCCATACTAAAACCACTACCTCAACTTGCTGCTCCATTAATTAATTCCTCATTCTAATATCCTATGCACTATAATTGTCACGTGAATTTAGCATACATTGTCATAATATTTCTTATAATGCATGTTAAAGTTAATGTTAAAATATGCAAGACTATTGTGGAGGATGTGCAAGACAGACTACTGCACAGAATTCAAAATTTATCATGTTTAGTAATGTCTAATAAAACTTTCTTATGGTTAAACCGCGGTTAACTTGTAGGAAATCTCCAAAAACTTGACACGGCTTATGCATTATAATAGAAAAAGATGGCATGACAGGTTCCACTAAAAATATTTTATTACATTATGACTATCTCAAAACCTCTACCTTAAAATCATTAGATTCTTGCTTGTTAGTCACTATAATTGTGATCTCATTTCATTTCTACTAGAGATATGATCAAAGTACTAGTTTTTATAAAGCTTGAACGTTCTTTAACATTGAGCTATGCCAAAAGCACAAATTCTTTAACATCCAACCTAGTGTCACTTTTTGAACCCTTAAAAAGAGGATCAACATCATTTTAGTGGCCTTTGGAATGAAACAAGCTTCCATGAATTATCCAAACCTTGCTTTCTTTTCTTGAAAACATTGATAATCAAGAAAGCAGCACTAAAAGCCAATAAGATTGTTACCATGACAAGGATTATAATCAAACCAATAGACCATGATGATCCTTTGCTTTCGCTTCGAAAACCAGAATGGCACAAAGTTATGTTGAGCATTGGTGTATCAGCACAAAGACCAGAATTCGCCAAAAAGCTTCTAGCAAAACCTGAATTTTGAAACTCACTTGGAATCCTTCCTGTCAAATGATTAGATGACAGATTGAGATTGGTGAGTCTAGGAAGTTGAGATGGAAATTCGCCGGAAAACTCATTTTCTGACAAATCTAGTTGACTAAGGACAGGTAATTTTCCAATTGTATCGGGAATTTGTCCCGAAAGTTGGTTTCGGCTCAAATTTAAGGTTACTAAGGACTTCCATGATATTATATTTGTCGGAATCGGACCATTGAGCTGATTCTGATCGAGCAAAAGAGTTGTTAATTTCGGAAGAGATGTTATCTCTTGCGGAATACTTCCATTTAACAAGTTGTTACTTGCATCAAAAACTATCACATTAGTCCATGAAGATACTCCTGCTGGAATTCCACCAGAAAACTGATTGTTACGTATCTCGAACCGTGAAACATTCGAAGATAATCTTTCTGGTATCACACCAGTGAACTTATTATTGCTTACCATGAAATTCGACAGATTGAAAGATGTCCAAAGACCACTAGGAATAGCACCAGAAAACTCATTATTATGAATTTTCAAGTCCATCAAGCTATTACAATTTCCTAATGATTTCGGCAACTCGCCGCTGAGATTATTTTTGAAAACGGTCAAGTTGAGTAACTCACCATGGTAACATAAATTCTCAGGCAACTTTCCAATAAGACTATTAGAAGAAATCAAAAAGGTTTTGAGCTTTGAATATCGACCGAGTTCAGGAGGAATAGCACCTGATAACTTGTTAGAAAAGACACGAAAATCGACAAGAGAAGGAAGAAGGCCTACACTTTCTGGTATTTCACCTGATAAGCTATTGATAGACAAACTCAACCATGTTAACTTTTGAAGCTTTCCGAAATCTTGAGGTATTTTCCCAACAAGCTTGTTCTCTGCAAGATCAAGGCTAGTCAAGTTCAACGCTTGAACCGAACTAGGTATTTCGCCAGAGAGTTTGTTTTTGTAAAGATAAAGTATGCTCAGATTCTTCAACATGAACAAGCCTCTAGGAATTTCTCCGGTTAAACCATTATCTGACAAATCCAATTTCTCCAAAGAAACCATATCTTCGATTCTTTCGGGTATTTCATCAATCAAGTTAGAGCCATAAACATAAAGAACCTTCAAGTTTTTCATCTTTGTTAAACTCAAAGGCAATTTCCAAGAAGGAAACACAGCATTGGATGACAAATCCAAAAACTCAAGATTCAACAATTCACCAATCTCATCACTGACAGTACCATTCAATAAACAATATTGAATTCTAAGCTCCCTCAGTTCCTTTAACTTTCCAATTCCATCAGGAACACCACCATGAAAATTTGTGGAACCAAGATTAAGATATTGTAAATAAGAACTCAAATTTCCAATATCATTAGGAATGATACCATCAAAGTTGTTCATAGAAAGGTCTAAATAAACAAGCTTTGAACAATTATAAAAAAGTGTTGGAAAATCACCAGGGATAAAGTTGAAGCTGAAATCAACATGAGTAAGGTTTTTGAGTTCATTACAAATAAAGGGTGGTATAGTTTTCGTGATGTTGATTTCGGAGAGAGTTATTCCGGTGACAAAACCATTTGTGCAAATGATTTCTTTCCAAGAACAATGATTGGAGTTTGATGATGGTGTCCAGTGGTTAAGGAAAGAAGTGTTTTGAAGATATTGTTTTATGTTTAATAGTACTTTTTGTTCATGATCATGCACAAGAGAGTGAGACTGAGAATATGTTTGGTTTAATAATAAGAGGAACAAAGACAGAAGAAAGTGAAATGTATGTTTCACGAATGATGATGATGAGGTTGGTGTTGTCATCTGTGTGTGTTGGTTTTTCTGGTTTTCAATATGTCTGCATGTTAAAGAGTTCATTCATGTATGTATATAAATACTGGAAAGGTCAAAGATAAAGTATAAAGTGTAGTGAAATGATGATTTAGTCTTCAGTGTGGTGCAATATTTTCTTTGTATAATAATTGGTAAGGTCAAAGCTACACTAATGGTGTATCTCTTGGTTGGTGGGGGAGTTATATAAGAACCATGAATTGTGGTGCATGAAAAGCCAATCAAAATGGACATTTGACTATTTATTTTGAGGACTAACATAAAAAAAGACTAAACAAATAAAGAAACAAAAT